CTTATGACTATTCTAATTAGTGTTTTAGAAAGCAGGCAGTTTACCTATTGTTAAGTATTACTGTCGCATGTGGACATAATAATATTAACCGATTACAACTGAGGGGTTGTAAAGACGTTGCCAACCTTTTAAAAAGTGAGGCCCGGTAATCTCACTCACCAGACGATACACGAAAGCATAACATTTCCACTTCTCGCCGGTCTTCCGAGAGGCTGTGGTACTTCGCCGCATGAGCCTGCCCATTCGTGCAACATCAGATGCAGATACGTGGCTCTGCATTAGACTAGTCCACCTTTTTAGTAACTTTTAAGCACTTCGGCTGGCCCGTTTAAGAATCTCATATACTCTTCTTTCTACACTTCTGAACATATTCGTATCTTGTAATTATACTTAGTTTATTTAAGTGGACAAAGATTTATCGGAAATAAGGCGCAAGAAAATGCAACATTCTCAATCAACTTTTATCCTTCGTCATCACTTCCTTACAAGTGTTAATATAGTAAGGACAGATATAACGTTGGAACATATCTAATAATTACAATGCGAGAACTGAAATGTATAATACATTTAGATTTCTCATTCTCTTTATTTGTTATGCGAAAAGATGGCAAGCGAGCTGTAGGCTGGAGGTTTCGAATATCGCCGCCCATGGACATTTGCAATACCCGTAGGATGCTTTGCTACCTTTTAATAAAGTCCTCGCTACCGTGGCGCTTACGTATCTTCTTTGTGTTTGATCCTGACATACTTTTTTCGTCTCTACCATTATATATATATGGCCCCGGATTATGTACAACATTATATAGTTCTTTATAAAGTGTCGGAATAATGACCGAGTAGTTATGGAACATCTTTGTTGTCTGTTATATTCTTACTAACAACGCGTACCACGTATTCTGTGCTATGTCGTTAGTACCCAGAATCGTGTACTAAAAATTTATAGAAGAAATAACAAAGTTATACCCAAAGCACTAGATATTGATGACGAATTCTACTTCATGTCCGTGAAGAAGAATATAAAAAGATAAGACAAGACATCAACAGTTATAAACAGTACGTGCCCAACACTGTACGACAATCTTCTCAGTGCAACTTTATCAATTCCATATATGACATCTCGCTTCGCTATTGACTTTCCACACTCGTTCTACTCACCCTGTTCAAATAAAATCAGTGTAATGCAAAAGTACTCTTCTCCTTGCGATCTACTAGTGAATTTTCGGAGTTTCTTCGCAAACATGTTTGCGGCATTTGACACTTCTACGTCAGTCTGTTGCTCGTATACCGAGTCTTCTATAAAAGAAAACTATTATTTAATAATTCCTCATTCTTTTTTTTTTGTGAAAATTTGGCTAGCATGTAGACGATTCGTCTGATGTTAGTGGTTACCGTCGCCCGTGGACACAACACCTGACAGAGTCCAGATGCGTTGCCAAACAAAAGTGGGCTCCGGTTAGGATTCTTTCCGGTGACTCTTTTCTTATTAAAAATATGCGCTGGCGAGAGTATTAGTGCTATCGTGAAAAAAACGAACAAAAACACGTCGCAGGGCCTTAAAAAATCATTAAGATAAGGATTGACGCACGTCGGCTATCTCTTGGCGAACCAGTTCGACTAGAACGGAGCTACCAAGCGATATCTGGGAGCACAATTGCTTAATAAGTGCATTTCAACAAAGACATTTCAATTATTACAAATGTCTAAAACAAGAAATAGGAGATATGCAGATATCATAATATACATATTAATGTGACGTTACAGCAATGAGATATAAAAATGGTAAAAGAAGGGACAAAATGTCGCACGCCTATATTTAGAATGAGCCCGGTTAAAAGGACCAAGTATTTTAAGTAAGAAGTATTTCAAGACCATTTAAGTATTAATTTAATTAAAAGATTTATTAATTTATTACACGAAAACTGTTTTTTGTTTCAATATCGTAACTGCGTAAAACGATCGCCAAAATGTTTTCAAATAACGAAAAGTAAAAAAAAATTGACTTTCAATGCAATAATTTGGAAAATTTCCCTGGTGCAGTTAATGGAAGTATTTGTTGCTCTGTTCAAAGTTACCCATATTATTTTTATAACTTGCCACTTGCCAGGTTACGAATGGGGTGTCTTGTTCCTAGAAAGTAACCGAATTTAAAGAGAATAAAAGCAAAAATAGCTATATCTCGTATAATTATAACATATCCCGAGAGGGCTTAAGTCACCCGAGAAATGTTCGAGAATTTCTTTGAGTCCCATCAGAAAATATATACAACATTAATGAGTCGGGATTTCATGACGATCCTGGAAAGATGTTGCTTTTTCGAAGGGTCTCTCGTATCCTGAAGTTATAAAATGGAGGTTCTGTAGCTATTGGTGCTGTAGTGCGATAATCTCAGTGCCCACATTTAGTTAATAGTGATTACGATTTTGATCACAATTGCCAAATAAACGTATAATTTATTACGTTTCACTCTATGTTCCAACTTTATCTCGATATAATAAAAAATTACAAAAAAATAACTATCTTATTTCCCCCCAAATTGGTCTACCTTGATTCAAATGGCAAGACCAAGCTATGTATCACATTTAAACGTTAATGTAGATGTAATTTTTAGAGATAAGGTTTTATTTATTGAAAATACGTCAAATAATTTTACCCAAACTGAAATATTCGAATAATGATGGTTTTTTACATCCAAAAAAAATATATTCAATGTTACCCTAAACTTAATATTACTTAGAATTTGAGTTTGGGGGAAATTGTGGATGGTTGCTGTTTTTTGTTGTTTTTCCGTAAATTTATTGTGTCGGCAAAATAAACCAACTCAAAAGGACACTATTTATTCAATAAAATAAAGATGCAATAGATATAAATCAAATTGTAATAGCACAAATTCTGTAAAAAATGTTCATAGTTAACCAAATTGACGTTACTATTTTATATTATTCCACTGATCAACGTTCCAGGGATATAATCAGAGGCAACAAAAGGTTGTACGGTGGTAGAGCCACGCAGCAGCCTCGGATGTTCCTCGAATGGGCAGGCCCGTCCGGGTAAGTACCACGACCTCACAAAAGACCAGCGTAAAGTGGAAGTAAAGACAAATACTTTCGCGTTTCGTCTGGTGAGTGAGGTAGCCGGAGCCCAATTTTCAAAAGGTTGTCAACGCCTCTGTAACCGTCGGGTGTAGCAGATGTTCATGGGCGGCGGTATTCACTTCCCATCAGGTGAACCTTCTGCTCGTTTGGGAACTTTTCACATAAAAAAAGGCAACCGTTATCAACTATGTTACTTAGAGCCGAAATTAAGACGGGCTAAGCCGCCTTCTTTTACATATCGTATCGCCAATTTAAACAATTTACAAAAAGTGTAACATTTCCCATAACATTATTAAAACACCACGGCCACGCCTTTCGACCTCGTTGCATCTTTCGGATAAGTAAATAAATATTATGTAGATATGAAATTCTCTCCTTAAGCATAATTATTTGTGACAGTAATTTATTATGCAATTGATACATTCGTAGGTACATTAATTTTTGAACTGAGTTGTACGGAGGTATTTTCAAATGAATACAATCAAATGTATACAAAAAATCGTTAAAAATTTTATATATGAAATAAATTGTAAGTATATAAACAAATATTCATAACCGAAAAAGTTATTGGTTATAAATAAATTGTCTTCTGCAGTGCGAGTATCGGATCAATGATTCGCAAAACGAAAGTTTACAAAAACGCCAGTTTTATTCTATCTACAGCTAGATTTTGTTTCTAGCGAATTAGCGGTATTTGACATTAGCTCCATATTACTTATTTCAAAATTCTATCTCCAGTAACCAAATGTATCTGTAGATCGAATATTGAAACCGGCCTATACAATAATATTGATTATTTCGATACCTAGTTGATAAGTTTTAATAGTCTTGCTTATATGGAATTTACTAGTTTAATAGTTTATTTGAGCACTCGACCTTGAAACTTGGAACTCTAATAGCAACTTACAAATAAATTTATGGCATGATATAATGCGGAATGCCATTAAATAAAACTCACAAATGTGCTCACTATTAATTGTATTTACATCAGAAGAACTTTAGATATGTTCACAATATTTTTACCCTTAAAATAATGTTATTGTTAACAAATCAAATAGACCGTTGTGTTCTACGCGGCGAGTCTCGAGGCAGAGGTAACTCCCCGGTCGCCGACCAATCAGAGGCGACTCGTTTGCAAACCGCGAGTCGCGCGCTTTTGCGCGCTAAATTTAAAATAGACGCGGCGGTTGTTTTCATCCGCCACAAATTCAAACTTTTACAATGAACTTAACTTTTATTACGGAGGTACCTAATCAGAGAGTTCCTTTTTGAGAAGTAACTTAACTTAGGTATATCTTTTTACCCCTTTTTCCCTTTTTGACTTATATCCCTTTTTCTATTAATTATGACTAGTACTGAAAGACAAATTAATAAATTTCATATATACATTGAAAGTATATTGTAACACTAACCTACATTATCATGAAAAACTAGACAAACGTGACTGGTTTACGATTCGCATGCGCAGTGCACTTTATGTTATGACACTACCGTACCAAATGGAAAAATGGTTTCAGCGCTTCATCGCTTACAACACCACTATTCTTTTAAAATCGATCGGCTAATACAAGCGCAAGGCTTGTCATTCACTGACGTCGCACCGGCGGTAGCCCCGCTTGACGCATGCGCGCTGAGTATCCCGCACAGATAAAGACGAATACGTTGAAAAATATATTCGTACTCTACTGCGATCTTTTCAACATGGCCGTATTATTTTAACGCCAGAATCCAGTTCCACTTTCGAGCGGTTATCTCATTTTGTCGCATCGCGATATAGATAACGACAGCGCTAGTAAAATATTTTATTAATTATGCGATAACAAATTGCCTTCACTATAAATGAAAAGTAAATTGCGGCAAAGGCATATCGTAATGTTCAGCCAATTGTCGTCGGGTGTGTGGTGACGGATGGACGGATTTCGTGCAGGATTGTACGTTGTGCGGCGCTTCGTTCGGCTCAGCCAGCCAGTCAGAAAAGCGGACTCAGACCGCGCGGTCGCGCGGCGCGTCGGTGCTCGTAGTTTTTTAGTTTGACAGTTGGCGCGTTTTTTCGTTTCAGTTTAACTAGATATATTTTGTGGAAAGCATAGATTTTAAGTTAGTGTAATCTGTGTATTTTCTGTTAACTTCTAGTGTGCGACTAGTCATTTGTGAGTTATCCACATTGGCTGTGAATTTAGTGATTGTACGTACGCCCTGTGTACTTTCGTCGAGTAGGATTTTGTGATTTTTCTTTTGGAGATCGGTTCTGTGTACGTGTCATCGGGTGCAAGGGACAAAAAGGTATGGAATATAATTTCATTAAACCATAGTCGTTTTATATACCCTTTTCATGCTCTAATAAGTCGGACATTGAACATTGCTATTTGGGGCAGACAATTTCTCTTACGGGTCCGATTAAAACTCGTTCCAAATGTAGCTAATCGCTTCGTCGGTAAAGAATATCCTTACTCTCGTTCCGAGGTTCATGGACAATGTTAAAAGTTATATAAAGAATTACTTCAATAAGTTTGGTTGAATCTCGTTTTCCCTTGGCCGGGGCGAGACGAAGTAGACAGCTGTGCACACGTAACGGGTAAAAATAAATACTCGGGCATTATCGGCTGCTAGACAAACCGGCTTTGCTGTGGACAACGCGTTATTATTAGTGCACATTATAAAATATTTGTACTAATTGTTGTTATATTGAAATAGGTAATGTTATTGCAAAAACCTGTTCATATTTTTGAAGTAATGATCTTCTTGAAACATTTAATATTTGTGTCTTTTAAACAGGAAACTGCTAAAAAGCTTTTAAGGGGTTTTGCAAAAACTTTTGAAACTAATAATCAATGTACCCACATTAAGAAGATATTGATTAATGATTTCCTTAAACTTAACCAAATATATCATGAACGTTTTTCAGATAACACCCATAGGAATATATCTTTTGCTGTCTCAAAAGTATTATAACATACCTTCTGGTCATCCAATGGTGACACATAAAAGTGGAAATGTATATGTAAATGAACTGTAGTTAAAATATTTATTGTAAAAATGGGATCAATTATTAAATAAACCAAATATTTCTTTTAATCTTCATGAACTTATTGTACATATTAGCATGATATGTTTAAAATCTCATTAGACCTATAATACTTGGTACATGAAATAAATGATGAAATAAATTTGATCTTGATTCAGTTTAAAATATAAAATGTAACATTTAAAACATATGTTTATTCTCATATGTTTAATGTTTTAAATAAAATTATGAAAATGTTTATGTAAATGGTATTAATAATAATATTTTATTTTAATTTATTTTACATGCCTTTCAATTATGAGATCATGTTCACTAAAATATATATATGTACTGATTTATAAACGTATTTTTTTTAATAATACTTCAATAAAAAAACTTGTTCATGTAAACTGTAACTGTAACTCTTTTCAAAATAAAAAAAGTATTTAAATTTAAAACTATTAGTTTATTGGTAAACAATCTGCCAAAGTGTATTATTAAAAATGCAGAATCTAGAATAGCAATTAAGTATTCATTTTGGATCATAAATCTTTTCTATTTTATTCATAAATGGCCGCCAGTAGAACATACATTATCCCCATTCTGTTTGAAACAAAATGGAACAATTCATCCCACACAGACATGTTCATATCATTTGGTCTATTTAGTCCTTTTACTACAATAGTATAATGTTAACTGTAACCCTGATTATGATAAATAATATAAACAAAATACCTAGTTTTTTTGAGTTTATTTGTCACAACTTTGTTACAATTATTTTTAAGCGTAAAATTACATTTCTAAGGGACTCCAAAGGTAAGTACATTTAAAATACAAAAAAACCACATACTTAGAATGATCATTATTATGATGTTATGAATATGGAAAAAAAAATGTTTCTAATTTTTAAGTGACAACATTTGTGTTAACATTATTTTTTTATTTGATTCCACAATGTAGCTTAAGTTGTAAAACTTAAAATTAAAAACCATTTTGAAACCTAAAAATTCCTAAATATCCATTCCATTATTCTTAGTTTTTATTATGTAAATTGATCTTTTTAATTTCATACCAACATTATTTTAAAAATAACACAGAACATTATTAAAAAAAAGGAAATTAATAATGTTATGTTACTATAAGCCTTTTTTTTATATTAAAAATCTTTTTACATAGGATTAAGATTACTACAAATTTTGTTTACTACCTTAGATGTTAACTACTGGAATCAATATAGATGCTCTTTCTATGTAAAACTGATATAGTCCATGTTACAAAATGTTTGCTGCTAGGTTTCATGATATATCTCGGTGAATTGACAGTAATTGACAAAATAGAACTATGTTGGTTTGGCAATAATTTATACAATGACAATAAAGTGCATATCCTTTATGTACTAAGGCCACCAAATGTCGTTAAAGCAATGGCACATATGTCTACTTTGACTACTTTTCGATAAATTCCGCAATAACCGCCAGTGATTTGGCAACACGGCGTCGTTTGAAAGTCCAATGGAGGGGCGAGGACGGAGAGCGGGGGTGGGAGTGGGGAGGGGCTGCTATAACATCTGAAATATTGCGACCAGACGGCCGTTACCCCGTCGTGACGTCGCTCCAGCGACATTTATTACGTTGCCCCAGTAGCCAAGGCGCCGGGCTGGCCTATCTTAGTGCCTATGTGTAGCAGATGGGTTCGCCCCTGCAGCGAGGACAGTCGGTTGATTTTACTAGGCCGATCGCACTCGGCAGTTGGGTGTATTTAGAGAGCTAACGGAGTCGTCACCGGCGCACGCGTCACGCCGCAACGCGAATAGAAAACCGGTGACCCTCGGCGCCGTGACGTCGCACCGTTGATGACGGCCGGGCCGAGCTTAGGCCGACCACACACATTTGGCTCCATTACTCGCTTCAAGTACAATCGGCCCCAATTAACGATTGCAGTTTGTGGACAGCCCTTAGGTTTAGATATAAGCTTCACGTGAATACTTTTCGCGCGTACATTTTATAGTCTGTGTTAGATTCGTTAGCGAATATTATCATCGGCCTGCGCGAGGCCCGGCCGATTGGAATGCGGCCAATTTTATCCGGCCGAGGTGATCGGCGGTGTCATCGACGAGACCTTCGGCCGAAGCTTAATGAAATGTCATTGTGTGCACTTGTTTTCCTAAGATATTGATTGGTACGTAGCAATTGGAGCTTCTAGAACGGTCGTGACATGAGTGTGGCCGAGTGTGTACTTTCTGTATTCTGTTTTATTTTTATGTGAGAAGGTGGCGAGCGAGCAGACGATTCACCGATGTTGAGTGATAACCGCATGGCATTTGCAACACCGGTAGGGGAGCAGATGCTTTGCAACCTTACAATGAAGTGGGCCCAGGCTACCTCATTCACCAGACGAAACTTAGAAGTATAACGCCTCCACTGCACACCGGTCTTCTGTGATGTCGCGGAACTTACGCGGATAGACCTATCCATTCATGCAACAGCGAAGACTTGCTGCAAGAGTTGCTTGGCCCTACCACATTTAACTGTATTCTAGAATTTCTTAATTTGTTTCTTGAATTAAATTCTAAATAAGATATATTCTAATCTTAGTACCTATTTATAATTCTTCGGTACGTGTGGTCACTGAAATCTTCCTAAACAGCTGGACCGTTTTTTTAAACGATCCAGCGAAATTTTAATGAAATTGTGTGTTTTCGGGTGGATTCGAGTAAAGGTTTAGATTAACAAAATTGTTCAAAAAAATTTGAAATTTTCGAATTTAAGTGTGTACAGGACAACGTCTGTCCGGTCTGCTAGTATGTTATAAATATACAGTGTAGTATTGTGAACCAGATAACTTGATACTGTTTCCTAACGAAAACTGCATTATTCGAAATATTCCTTACAACTGCAGATAAACTTACGAAAATGCGCTTTCGCTAAACATCATGAAAGGCACAGCACAGTACACCTTTCTCTACCCTTGAGTCCGTCGGAAAGGGACGGCGTATAGTGATGTCCCGCTCTGGCACCACAATCTTGAGCATCGACTATAAAACCGCATGATATCATCAGATGGCGTCACTGTCTCATTGTTCTGTCTGTATTCGTTTATACATCTCGGCTATTTAATATTCCCTTGGTGTGCAAAACGTTAATGCGATTCCAGTCCGTATCGGATCTACGCGTTATAAAACGAGCCTTGAGAATTTAAAACAGGTTATAATATTAAGCAATACGAAACTGTACATTACACATAAAACCTATAACATTTTTCCAAGTTCCACTCCATTGCTTCGCTTTCTTTAAATGTTATTAACTTAGTAACACTCCGCTTTACAAGTAGTTCTTGGAGCATTAGACCTCATCAGTCCGGAGCATTATGAAAAGCCGCCCTAATTTGATCTTATTATTCGAATTTTATTGTTAGTGTAAATTCAATAACGCATATAAAAATCTTTATAATATATCGTCAGGGTTTTTTAAATTAGCTCACAACGATCTTGAAGCGTTATAACAGGTGATTTAAATTGCTGTTTGTTTACCCGCAAATTTATACTCCTCGGTTATTGACCGACTTTTACTGTACATATATCGGTTGCTTTGTCTTATTGATATTTCTGCCTGCAGTCCGTAGACTACATTAAGCTTTATCGGGCATAGAGCTCGTGGAAAGACTAAGGGAGCTTTTTCGGTAGCTAACCTCTTTACTAAAGATTGCTTGCAAGAAAATATACATGTCATACGAAGTAGTTATGTGAAATTGTTCAATTTTTATTGCGTACATGGTTTGTATTTATTCTTAATTAAAAATCAAAAAGGTATGCATTTGAAATTAACTGGAGATATTTGTGTTTATAAACCTAGAGGCGTATGTGTCACCCACGAAAGCCGCTTTATACTTGTTCTGAAGTATGCGATAATGTATTAAAAAAGAAAATAAAACAATAAAACATGATGTAATAAAATATAACCGTATAAAAGATACGGCACTACAACTACCATGATAGAGCTATTTTGAGAGTTTATGAAGCTGCCCACTGAGTAATGTAACCTGAGGTCAGGGGTCGCAAACTGAGCTGACATCATAGCGGCGTCACCACGTCAAGTAATTTCAATCTAATTAAAAGGTCTCGCGAATTGTGTCAGGGTATAAACGAACACGTAATGTTTTAATGTACTCTAAAATTGAATAAATTTAAAACAGTGAAGGTTTATTTACTAGCATGATAATTAGGTTTATTTACTAGCATGATAATTAATTATTTATTATTCTAATCTGAATTCTAATTATCTTTTTAAAGTTTCCCTATTTCTTTTCCATTATTTTTTTCATTTTGCCTTATTCACAATGGGAGCAATATTCACAAATACATAGTTGTCTCTTTGCAAATATATTTCATTGTTCCAATGACAATCTAGGGCAAACACTTCACTACGGTTTTTTTCAAATGAATAAATAGGTACATTTGTTCAGTATATTCATATGGCTAAATGAATGAATGAATTCGAGGCTTATCGACCATCAATTCATTTCCAGCCGCGAACGCTTAGAGCTTGGTTTCTCGCACGTCGCACGGCAGAACAATTACTGTAGCGGTCCTCTAAGGATTCTGCACTCTGCGCCGCTTAAGAACACCACTCCGATATCAGATTTCCCTGGGGCTTAATTGACGCTGACGCAAACAGCCACGTTCACCGTTGAGTGGACGGTCTCAAGTGTCAAATGATTCTAGCACGTTATATAAACACTTCGCTATTTATTTGGAGCGCTGTTAACTTATAGGGAATAAGGATTCGCAGTTATTCAAATTGCCTTTTCTGCAGTCTTCGACTTTTGCTCGAATAACGACCAGATTGGTTATTTGCCTATAATGATATCATTCACAAGGAACCTGACGCCTCTCTTGTTGATATGATGATACGAAGTTAATTCCTGTGATGATGTTTAATCATGTCTATGTTACTGTATTTTACGACACGATATTATATCAAGTTAAAGTAATTAGGTAAGTAGTAGAAATTATCTTTGAATATTGATTATCTATCTCTATCTATCGCAAAATTAATACTCTACAGAGCTTTCAGCGAAACGCTTGTTATTGGATTCCTAAATCAAGAAAAGCTAGTATAGTACTAGCTAGTATAGTAGAAAAGCTAGTACTATGCACACTTTGTAACTAATAAATAAACTTAAACATACTTTACACGGGACATATTCGTCTATCACTACGCTCTTCACCAACGCTCTTCACCAAATTACAAGTACTACCGTGATTTCGATGACAAACATTCTAATCAATTGAAAAAAATGGCTTCTATAGTTATATGTTTAAAGTCTACTTGAAGCAACATATTGAGGTACACGAAAAGACGAAATCTGGCGAGGCGATCACCGACACTTCGGTGGAGTTCGATGCAGCTTATATCCCACGAGAGGAGCGTCTCCAACGACGGATTATTTACGGCCCTCGATAGCGCACACAGAGCCTCCCTTATTGTCTGAGCGTTAAAGTCTATTGCGCCTAAGACATATTTCGAGTTACGCACGTGTTGTAATCGTTCGAAATATCAACGCGTGCCGTCTAATTTCGAATTCTGCGCCCAGCCTACGGGGAATTCATTAATGATATATGCTCATAATCAGCGGTGCTCCACGCGTGCGAGAAGGATTGCGAAATACCATTGTATTTGTTTGCGTAAGAACATAAATCGAGAATTCATGGTAGGCGCTCTTCGCTGAGCTATTGGGCTGCGGGGCGTTCAGTTTTATGTAGAGTAAAAGTGTTTTGTATATCCGACTTAGGAACCTTCAAGGAGAGATCCTATTCCTTCCTCAAAGGCCGGCAACGCATTTGTGACTCTTTTGATGTTGTGCGTGTCCATGGGCGGCGGCAAAAACTCACCATCAGGTGGCCCGCCTGCTCGTTTGCCTCCTTTTCCATTAAAAAAATGTACATAGTCAAAATTGCAGTGTTTTTTTATCTTAATTTGGAATGATCGATACTAACCGTAGTTTTATTACGATTCCCATCCTCGACTTACTATTGAGAATTGTTTTAAATACTTTTCCGTATCCACATCCCACAAGTCCACAAATTTTTGAAGCCGAGGTACGTTCCTGCCCTGAAGATGCTTATTATATTATTATTTATATTTTCCGGTCAATACAAGCGATTATATAAAATGTATTCTTGTATTACAGTGTTTTAAATGCCTTGAGTTTTTAGGTCTTCTAAGCTATGTCCTACCTATAAGCTGATATATCTACACCAATTTTTTTAGAACATGACAAATCACGTCAGCCTACAGAGAAATAAATTTACCTTCCGCGGTGGTACCGGAACGAATATTCGGGCATAAGAAAAATACGTAAAAATGTTTTAGAAAAACGTAGAAGCGAATAAATCTTCGAAGAAAAAAAAACATTAATCGATGAACAGTAATAAAACGCTGGCATCGTTTGTTTAGTGAAATGGCAAGGAATGTTATTGTTGCCGTGAAAGATAAAACGAGTGGATGAGAAAAATCGAGGAAAAGAACATCAGTTAAAACTAGTGTCCAAATCGCTTAATAATTTTATAGAATAAATGCAATTTTTCCTTTCTCCCTTTTAAATTTGTACTCTAAGCGTTTTTGGAATGCGTAGGAAGAATTATAGTATTTTATAATAATATAATATTATTTAATAAGTATTTTTTTTTTATCGAAAAATTGGTATTTACTTCTATTATTCTTTGACCCTTGATTTGTATCGATTTGTTGTATTATATTAGAATATGTCTTTTGCCCTTCAGTACATAGTATAAAACAAATTCGTCCCGCTGTCTGTCTGTCCCTATGTATGCTTAGATCTTTAAAACTACGCAACGGATCTTGATGCGGTTTGTTTTCTAGATAGAGTGATTCAAGGGGAAGGTTTAATGTATAATACATTGCACCCATGCGAAGCTGGGGCGGGTCGCTAGTATTATTATATAATAACATTTTTGCAGCAAGTCTCAAAAGATATCTATGAATCAGTTGCTAAATGTGAATGTCGTATCTGTTGCATGTCGTCATCGCAAAGGTGGGTCAGCTGGTGCGTGGATGTATACAGACACATCGGCGTGACTCACGAACAAAGATGGCGGCGTCGTATTTAACGATCCCTTTGCTTCTTAAGAAAATCTTCTACTACTCTCCAACTGGCTTACGCGCGAGATCATTTCAATGATCACTGGTTCTTTTTTTTTTTAAATTTAAATATTACTATTTTAATGGACACTAACTTTTATAGTCTCACTTAAAGAACAATGGGAAAGTAGTTTTTAATTTTTAAAAATACCGGTGACATTTTGTTCGTACTCAATGCACCAAGTTTACTACGAAGTGGTCACGCAGCGCATTTTGCACATGAGGGGGTGAGCTCAATCGGTAACTTTGCATTCCGTCCGGTAAGTGAGGTTAATACATGGCTTACTTCCTTGAAGGTTAATACCCAAATCAATACACTTTTGTTTCTTCAGATATCTAAATATGTTCTGAATGCCGTTAAATGGTTAAAATAACAAGAAAGCGCCTTACACCGCCGCTAGTGTTGCAGTGAAATATTTTCTCCTTTGCCTGCCCATGTTTAAGAATGTTCCACGCGGTAGACAGTGCGTCTTGTCGTGTCGTTTACGTTCCGCTGCCGTCGACCGCCGGCGCGGCGTCTGCGCGTGGGCGTTGCGCGGACGCCGCTGTGACTCACACAAATATGGCGTCCAACCGCTAATTATCGCAGCGCGAACGAGCAAAAACATTTTTTTTAATTCTTCCGGACAATGGCACATTTAGCATCAAGATTAACTTTTTTGTTTTGTTCGCAAGTCAGACGTAATGTATCATTTAATACTAAATTTTTATTATAATTCTCTGTCTTCTGATTTTTAAAATGTGAATAGTATTTTTAAAAGCTTTTCTATGGCCTTGAAGCCCGTCTCTGTCTTATGTATGTGTACATATTTTACTCTATATAGTAATATCTACGTGTTGAACTTATTTATGTGTGCACTAATTAAGCATTTCAGACAGTGAGTCATACGTCAATCAATATCATAGTACCCGGAGGACCGAGCTTTGCTCGGTTTGTTTTTTTTTTGGTAAGTCATGTATTTTGGAAATTACATTTAGATACAAATTACTGAGTAATGAAATATGCATAATATTTTTCGATCTTACCGACATAATAATAAGAAAATATGTACTGTTGTTTTTCACAATAGAAAGAACTTTAAAAAAGAGGGAAAAAAATAACAAAATAACAAATCGACAAAAAATTAAAAATAAAGAAATCAATGATCTGGAATCGAAAAAAAAGTAAAAAAATAAATGTGTAAATGATCGTGACGCGAACCACGGCCGTCTGTTTTGGGGCCGCCCGATTACCGATCGAGCTATTTTGACATTTCCTCTTGCGGCGAAATTTACCGTCATATTCGAATTATATTTTTCATTCCCTGAAAACAGGGATAAAAGGACATTTTCTAAAAATGAAACCTAGCTAGATCGATTTTTCGCCTCCGAATCTATGCACATACAAAATTTCATGAAAATCGCTGGAGCCGTTTCCGAGATTCCGATTGCTCGTTTAAAGGATAAGATTCATGGAACCGATTATATTCAATGACTTATTACCACATCCCTAACTCACTCATTAGTTGTAAAAATTTATTAAATGTGTGTAACTTAACATTAAAAAATTGCATAATAAACATCAATTTGAAAACCTCAACACGACGAATAAGATAATTTTGAAACGCGGACATTTCGGAAATTTTGAATTTTCCAAACGATATTGGCGAAAGTACTTGATCTATTATGTACTTTCGTTTCCATATAGTAACGCGTAAAGTTATACGATGGTGAAATTGGTCGTTTTCGTCGGTCGCGTAAAATATTTAATAATTCATCGGCTGCGGAGTGCGGCTTCGCGTGGCCGTTTTTTACGTTTTCCGATGTTTACTGCTTATAAAAGTAAATCGAGTACAGAGTATTCGAGACTTTTCGCAGCCGAAAGCGATTCACGTATTCCATGTTTTTTATATTTACCGCAGAAGTGTAATACTTCCAATTCACGCCGGTCTTCCGTGTGGTCGTGGTGCTTACCCGGACGGACCTACACATTTGTGCTACGAACTGTTGCGTGTTCCTAGCCTACCACAGTCGAATATAGTACTACCACAGTAGTATATCGGCGTAAATGTACTATCATTGCTTAGTCTGGCGCGTTCGAGTTATGCTAACCCTCATATCTATGAATGGGCGAGACGGCGCATCGTGCTCGAGCGAACTTTACACAAATGTCACGGTATTGGCACCCGACGTGTACTCATTGAAGACCGGCGAAGTTTCGCGGTTTTAATTGACGACGATGACGTCACAACATGGCGATACGGTCGGATTACCACTGAGCTCCATGTCGCTCGGTTTTTTGTCGATCAAGTCTCTATCTGTAACCATAGACGTGGCATGGTCAATTTTATATTATTGAAAATGTAATTACTCATAAGCCTAAGGTTGCACTAGTGTAGTCGTAGCGTAATAGTGCGAGTAGAATTTATATATCAAGCCGCAACTGGTTGGATTCATGTAAATCAATTTCGTAATAAGTAAAAGGTGTAAATTGCTTCGTGATATCTTACGTTTTGTGATGAAAGCACATATTGGAAAACGGCCAAGTGCGAGTCGGACTCACGCACGAAGGGTTCCGTACCATTATCTATAAAAACGGACAAAAAATCATGTCTGTTCTATCGGAGCCCTACTAAAATATTTTTTTATTCTGTTCTTTAGTATTTGCGGCAACAGAAATACGCCATCTGTGCAAATTTAAACTGTCTAACTATCACGGGTCATACAGAGAGACAGAGAGCGTTGTCTTACTAATACGGTCCACTTTTTTACCCTTTGGGTATGGCACCCTTAAAAATGACACTTGTCATTTTCGTCACGAAATAAATGAATGAATAGTCTTGATTATTCAATGACCATCCTCCTTCAATGACCTCCCCACGTGGTCATGAGGATTGGTCACCGATCCATGTCAAAACGGATGATGTTACGTCATAGTTGACTTTTCCTTACCTCCTGCTGGTGGACTCAATTTGTCAATGTCTTTGTCGGACGATCGTTTCTGTGCTCTCGGCGTTTTATTTTTACACAACGCTGCCTCTTTACGATCTTATCCATAAAATATATGCTTTAGTAGGCCTTAAGGCTACAATTACGACAATTGTCTCAGATATCCAAAAGGATGGAAAATAACATTGTGGCGATATAAAGAGATATATTAAAAGCCGTATGGATTGATGAAAGTATACATATAAAAACGCGTTACAAACAAGAATAGGAACGTCAATGACCGCGATCTTTTAATTATCGTTTGAAAAGTATGACTTGCAAAGAAAATTAACTCTCCACTTTTAAAATTTAAAATTGTTTTTATATTGCCTTATAAAAAGTAGTACCAAATCTATTGAGGCCATAACTACCTCAAACGAATCGTTAATGAATACCGGCAGAGAGAAATGTTTCAAGACTACGATAATTTTAGTTTTATTATAAAAACAGGCGATAGGAAGCCTGCTTATTTGTCTTTTAAATAGCAGTCGGTGGAATATTTTACATACCAACATATAAATACCTACATGTTGTACTTTTATAGGAGAAAGCAGCAGTGGTGACAATGTCGATGAAGTTAAAGCATGAAATAAAACTTTTTATTTCATGCTTTAAATACAAAAATAATAAATGAATTTGAAGAAAAAATTTGTAAATAAATAATATTTAAAACATATTTGTTTTCTTCACCGTACCTAAATGATTTGAATGGTCAGTTTTTACGACCAAGATGGCCCGAGGTCAGTCCTATATTTATAAAAATTTTGCGCAATGTGAAATTGAAACATAGTCTGGAAATTTGGATTGTAAGGTTGTACTGCATGATGACATTTTCCTTTTCACTACAATGCCTTTTCTCAGGCTCTAAACTATCTGTGTAACAATTTCATTTAAATCGGTTCAGTAGTATAGGAGTGAAAGCGAGACAGACATACAGGGTTACTTTCGCATTTATAATATTAGTATGAATTACTATGTGGTTTCTCTGGCAGCATATCACTGTACCCGCACGGCGGTCGCCGACGAGCGATATTTTCCACAGTTTGCGCCAATTTTCAATGTTCCCCCCCCCCCCCCCGCACCCCGCACCCCTCTTGAATAAGCCGGCCTCGATTGTTGTGCAGACTTGGTGTGCAGGCGTGTCGCTTCGAGCGCTCCGTTGCGAGAGCGGTAATTTCGAGCGGGAAAAAAGGCCTCCGCCATGCCACTCCGGCCGCGTGCTGAGTAATGGGTCGGTGAAGGTCGCGGCGAGTGTTCATTTCTTCCGAAACCGACTAGTGTCTGAATACTGCGCCCATCTGGCAGCGAGTGCCGACCCAGTCGCATACGTCTAACGCATCAGCTCTTTCGTTCTTCTTTTAAACGGAACGTAATTATTATGTAGGTACTTTCTTTTTGTGATTATTTGGCAAACGAGCAGGCAGTTAATTTCTCATGTGGTTACAGCTACATGTGGAGATGCATATATAACTTTTGATTTATCACGTGCTGGGCGGTGAAGGAGAACATCGTAGGAAAATCTGCATATTTTTTTCGAAATTATGCAAACATATGTGGCACATTTGTGAAATCTTCCGATCCGCAGTGGTGTTGCATGGTGGACTATGTCCTAATGCCCTCTGTAGGGCTAATATAACTTTACTTTACATAGTCTGTTTCTTTAATTTACTTACAGAACTTGCATCTGAAAATTGCAAATTCCAAGAAATCGAAGCCAATGCAAAAATAATTATTTAACTCTTTTTATAAATGAGATCTGAGGAAACAAATATAAAAAAATCCAACCGAATTGACCTTTATAGAAGGCGGTTGAAAGTGGAAAGTGGGGTTCAATGGTGTATTGCGAGCAAATATCTATGAAGCTACGTGCTGATCTACTTCAGAATGCATGTTCGTGACAGATCGGACGTAGAAAACACATTTACATAATCATGCATAGGTCATTGACCTTATTATGCGCCCATTAAGTCGGTGACGATACGAACGTGTAGTCTCCTCAAATAGCTTCCAACTTTATAGTATTAAAGACAATCGATTTTATCACGTTAGATACAAAGTTGCATACATGGCAAAATTGAGTATTTTTACCTGGTTAGTTTAACTTTAATTTATATCGTTATTGCTAATATTTCACTTTATGTAATAGGCATAAGTTAGCTACACTTTTGTTACAGCTTATATTTCATATTTTTTTTAATATTTTTTTTAATAACGACATAGTTATACTTGATTAATACAAAACACGATTTGCCTATATATGTAGTTACTGTGGCTTAGAAAATTTGTATTAACAACTATTTTTCTTGGGCATGTCCTATAAATGGTTATATTGCCATCTTCTGACAGCTGCATGATAACGAAATGTTATCATACACGAAAGTTTATGTTTGAATTCTTGCTTTGAACCCTGTGTTTTTTATTCAAATCCGTAAAGTGGTTTCAGAGTCGATTCGATGATTTGACGCCTATAAACAGTATTTTCCATTTAAACTTGGCATTTATTTCGAGATCACAGAGAGACTTTAATTTTATTACCAATAGTTGGATATTCTATGAATATAAGAATCGTTTTGTTCTCTTGTTTCGAATCGGTTTGCAATGATCTATTGCGACGATCGACGTCTTAAAAGGGGCGGAACCGAGTAAAAACATTATACGGGCCGTCCGATGGAAAAAGCGTCGGTTGGATTTGAAGCAAAAACCTCGCTACTGGCATCAGAGCACGTAGTAAATATGTTTTGTTCTGCACTGATCCTAAATAAACGGTGTAGAAGAGCGTGCGAGGAACCGGTTTGGCGAAATAAGAAAAAATGTCAGACTTTAGACTTGTATTGCGCATGTAACAGATTTATGTGTGACGGCGTTCTTTTGATACGGAATTTCAGTTAAAGTTCGCGGATGATTGTTAAACATTTGCAATAGTACGAGAAGATCTTGAAAGATTTTCGGAATGGTATACGCGGAAAGTTTTTTCGTTTTATATATATAAAACTTAAAAATGTAACTGTCTGGAGGTCACGCGAATGACATCTAATAAAATTCTTAATCCCGCCAGCAGAAGTCACTCTGCGCAGATCACTCGCTTTATTTATTACATTTAGTCTTTTTTCGTCATTACTCAATACATAAATGAAATCGATTTATGGAAAATGTAATTAAGTAATGAGAACAAGCGCTTTATACTTAAAATAATGACCTCAATGTCAATCAAACGTTGATGAACCTAGCCATATTTAAGTGTTTTATTTTTGCGTCGTTAGGGACATTTATAAACAAACGCTAGTTTAGAACTTTGCAATTCTACTGCAGCATGTATAAAACGTGCACATTAGAAAGCGCTTAGCATAAGTTCTTTCAGTTTGCAATGTCGTAACAAACGTCTATTATGTCCACATATATACCTAGGTTATTTGTTGTTAATGAGTATAGCTATTAAATAATTGAAATATTTTCTTTATTTTTAATGTAATTTCAATTGTTGCTGGCTGTTGATCAGTCAGTTTTTATTTAGTATTTTTTTGTTCAAACGTTTGCTCGGTTGTTTAGACTATAGCTGAATGTATAACAACCCGAAAGAGAATCCTTCGAAATACAATAAATAAACACAGCAACACGCAACTTGTACGTAACAACTATAAAACATTTTCAACAAAAATGATAATGCAATGTAACACTACAATTTCCCAATTGAGTTTCCATCCCAATGAATATAGGAACTCGATTCGCTTCAATCTCGCACTAAACACACCCGGCACATCGCCCGGCAACTGCGTGACGCCCCATCCATAATGCCCGTGCTCGGATGGCGAAGGTGTAAACATTTCTGGAGCATCCGCCCGTGTTCATCAATCCGCTGTCCAAACATCGACCGTTAGCTAAAACAACTTAGCGTCCGACCGAGGCGACCGCACAGCTATGAGTTATTCCGGTTTATGACTAGCCACCTTCGCGCCTTCGGCCAGATAGAACGTAGCCATCGGGTTTCCCCATCGCCATCTGCGCGTGGTTTAAATAACCGGTTCCATTCGGTTCTATCCGGTTCTACGGAGCAGATTTCGCCGTAGGTGAGTACAATGAGCCCGCCTGCGTTCTGGCAATTTCGCTCGTTTCCCTCTCCCGTTTGCTATGCACGTTTTTATTATTGACGTTACGATCCCCTTCAGACTCTGCACGCGATAGTGGTACGTGAATAATAAAATTGGGGCATATTCAATGTGTACTTAATAAAACGTGAATGGTATCCATAAACACAGACTTTTCGTCATCCATCGGCTTTTAGTAATTTAGAATGACTGGTACGAGCCAAAACGTATTTAAGGTTTCATAATTCGCCATGTAGTCTTATAATTCAAAGCAATCGAACTAGCGTATGTTTACCAGTCGGTAAATGGGTACTATAATGGTACCCATTACGTGAGCCACAAAATCAGTAATAGTAATAATACTTATACGTTGCAATTTCTGATAGGCTAGGGTTCTTCTCGAGACGAGACGGCGGTCTATTCACCTCACAACAGCAGAAGCTGCTGCGTGGCTCTAACGAAATTTCTATCTTGGCCATTTCTACCTTAAAGCTACCATCTTTAGCTTTATTAGTGTCGTGATGTTTTAAAGAAATATTCGCCATTACAATGTGCAATAGGAATTCCATTAAGAAATACCCCACAAGGCGAACAATGCTAAACGCTTTCGCTTATTAAGCGTGTTTACTTGTTGAGCTGTCCGCCTTCGGCGATGAAGTTATGAGGCATCGCGGCCGGCTCGCATGCCAGCTCTGCAGTTAATGAATGGGCGAGAACCGCACAATCAGTCGCGAAAATAAACTCAGTTGTGTGCTGTATGTCGGGAACTTTACCTACTTTATGCATGAAACCATTATAGGCTAGTGGGTAGGGCAACTTTTGTCACGGTTTTTTATTTTTATTGTTATTGTGTAGATAAAGTTCGCAATGAATATACATCCGCAGTAGAACAAAGGTACCCGACATAGGTCAGAGGCTTAGTAAGCTGAAGAAGCAAAGGGACATATAGCGCGAAGAACCGAAAACGTATTGAGAAGAAAGGTTCTCGAGAGGCAGCCTCGTATTGACCATCATAGTGTAAGATGAACCGCCACTAGATGAAGTTATGACACGTGCAAGTGTGATCGTGCTTTGTGGGGGAGGCCTATGTTCAACAGTGGATTGAAATGGACTGAAATGATGATGAGTGTGTAGAAGAATCAATCGCTTCATTTGAGTGACCAACGCCAGCCAGCCTCGGTGCCCTTGAACAAATTCGGCAGGAGGTGACTGACCTCCAGTCATCGCAGATCCGTTCGCACCAATGCCGTGGAGGTCGTTGCGGGCCGGGCGATGAGTTAGGTTACGATTTGGCGTGACACGGAGACACGTTACGATTTGGCGTGACACGGAGACACGTTACGATTTGGTGTGACACGCAGACTCGATGTGCGCCGTCGCAAATCACCGGGCCTCATTTAATCGGTTAACCGTCGGGGGGACTCGGCCGTCTGCAGATTGACCCGCTGGGGCCCGCCATCGGCTTGTTAAAGCGCGTCCATTATCCAGTTTGGACGGACGCATTGCAATAGGACGGCTACTCCCCGGCCGACAAAACTGTAATCACGAGTTCCCGAATAACCTTTGTGATTTGAAAAACTGTGTATATAATAAATATTTGGTCCGCGTGTATTTCTTAAGATATGATTAGCACTTACATTTGATCTTTTGGATACCCCATAGGTGATCCAAGAGATCAAATGTGAAAATCATATCTTAAGAGCATTATATATTATGAGCACCTCAAACTCTGTGCCTCGCAGGGAAACTTTACAATAGGTGAATTAATGATAAAATCATGGCTTTTCATAAACAATATCGTGCATCTCATTTGTGTCAGGGGTTACTATCAAGGACTTGAGTACATGATAAATAGAAATGTAATGTTGTATGGATACGGCACAATTCGACTCGGTGAGCTAGTTAAGTCCTCATAACGAAGACTAAGGAAGGTTAGGGCAAATTAAACACGGAAACTGCCCAATCCCATTTCAGATCGCGCTTCCACGGTGAACTTACCACCGCAGTGATATTTGACCTCGAACATATTGAACGTTGTACCTACCTACAACAAATATAAATTGGTGGTTCAAGTCGACATTGAGTTACATTTTGTCATCGGCCTATTTTCGAAAAGCTTAAAATATTCAGCTGACTGAAAATATGTAGGGTACTCCGTACTCCTAACAAATGCTTAATCGGACATGCGTAGATTTAATTAAAATTGGCGCAGTCGACATCCATGTATCTATTTTAAAATTTTCGGGCTG